AAGGCTGCTTAGCCCAGGCCTCCCACCCACCCACGCCCCCTTACTTACTCCTCCTCTCTCCCTTAACCTGTATATAATCCTGGTCTCTGAACTGTGCTCCTGACACACATATTCTGCGTTGACTTTTCCACCCGAAGACGGAAGCTTGTGTTGCCTCCGAAACGTCGTGATTTTCTTTTATTTTGTTTTAATTTATCTACATGACTTTACCGAATAAAACCAAAGAGTATGAATTCTTGCAGTCACGAAAGCTTCAAATCTAGTATTTAGCACTAGCAAATTTGATATTCGGCGCACTTCTCTCCTCCATCATCACATCCATGCGGGCGATTCACCCCCAATTCGGATTAATTCGCATAGACTTAGCCCCGATGAGAAGGAACAGGTACGCCTGGCTGTCAATGAGATGCTTGCAGCAGATATTATTGCTCCATCAAACAGCCTGTGGAGAGCGCCCATAGTCCTAGTGAAGAAGCGTGATGAAGATTTGAGATATTGCGTTGATTATTGCAAATTAAATAAGATATCGGTGGCGGATGCATACCCCCTTCCTCGTATGGACGACTCGCTCGATGCATTGTCGGGCACGCAATTATTTTCGACACTCGATTTATTGTCCAGATTCTGGCAATTGCCCCTCGATGACGAGTCGAAACCAAAAACTGCTGTTTGTATACCCCAAGGCCTTTATCACTTCAATTGCCTTCCGATGGGATTGAATTCGGCGCCGGTCACCTTTCAGCGGTTAATGGAATTGGTCCTAGCAGGATTGCAATGGGATTCTTGCCTTATATATTTACATGACGTCATCGTCTTTAGCAAAACCATTGATTAACATTTGCAGTGATTATGCTCGGTTTTAGAGAGAGTGCGTGCGGCCAAATTGAAATTCAAGCCACAGAAATGCCATTTGCTTCAGACATCGGTTAAGTACTTGGGCCATATAGTTAGCGCGGCTGGTGTTGCCACGGATCCAGAAAAGACTTCGTGTGTGCGCACGTGGCAGGCGCCTAAGTCGGTAGCAGACGTCCGCAGTTTCATTGGATTCACTTCTTACTAGCAGCGGTTCGTGAAAGATTTCGCCACCATTGTTAAACCACTGCATGCCCTCACGGCCAAGAGCCAGAGATTTCGGTGGGATAAGGCTGAAGAGGATTCCTTCCCGCTCTCCGTGCCGCCCTTGCCGATGTCCCCCCGCTCGTGTACCCCGATTTCGCTCAGCCCTTCATTTTGGACACAGACGCCAGCGATACGGGCATTGGGGCAGTCCTTTCCAACGGGAAGTCCTTTCCCAGCTTATCGAGGGCACGTAGAGTGGTTGCTTATGGCAGTCGAGTCCTGGCTCCTGCTGAACAGCGCTATTGTATCACGCGCAGGGAGTTACTGGCCATAATTCATTTCATTCAGCTCTATCGTCTTATTTGTATGGATGGGACTTTGTCGTCCGCACAGACCATGCGGCCCTCCAGTACTCCATCCGGGCAGTTGTCCCGATGGCTCGAGATTCTCCAGGGATTCTCATTTACAGTGGTGCACATGAAAGGCACCCGGCACGTCAACACTGATGCCTTGTCCCAATTGCTACTCCATTGTCGCATGCACGTGTGCCTTGGGCGCATCGAGATGTAAGCCCTCGCAAGGGGAGGCGACCATGGTGCTCGCGGCAGCCGGGACAAGGCGGGATGCAGGCGCTCAGTCACCACGTGATTCTATTCTGAATCTGAGACGTGGGCTAAGCTGCAGTTGATGACGCCTCACTATTGACGTTGCGCCATCATGCTTCTCGGGGACCGGGGCCCGCGGGTCGCCCAACCATTGTGCTTGTGAAAGCTGTACATGAGAAGTTAATGCATTTGGATGTGCATAAAACGTTGGCAACGTTGAAAAAGGACTTTTACTGGCCCGGCATGGAGAGTGATGGCCTCCTCCTGATTAAAGGTTCTACCGATTGTGCGCTTTGGTAATCTTCGGTCTCCCAGAAAGGGCACAAGTACCTCCTCGTGGGGGTCGAATATCTGACTCGTTGGACTATGGCCTGGCCCTTGGTTGACCAGTTGCCTGCGTCTATAGCCGACGCCTTTGTGAACGGCTATGTCCTGGATAAGGGGGCCCCGGAGCAACTGCTCACGGATCAGGGCAGGAATTTCTCCTCCAAATTGCTCCAGGAGGTGTGCGAGTCCTTGGGCACGCGGAAAAAATATGCACCTCACCGTATCATCCGCAGACTGACGAGATGGTTGAGCAGTTGCATAGAACCCTCACCGCCATGCTATGCCAGCAAGTGACTGAGGGCCAGTCGGATTGGGATCTGCACATTCCAGGGGTCCTTGCTGCTGACAGACTTGTGCCTCATGCCTCGACGGGATTCTCACCATTTTATTTAATGTATGGGAGGGAGCCTAAACCCCCTGTGGAAGTTCAGTTGGATTGCACCCCCCGCGGAAAGGATCGACAGTGCCTGACCCGATGTTGAAAACACTTGAGCAGCTGCGGTTGGCCGGCGAGGCCGCTAGGCGCAACTCGGCCCGCAGACATGCTGGTAACGAGCAGCTAAGGGGTCAGGGAGGGCCAGGAATACCTTGGCAAGTGTGGGACAAGGCTTGGTTACATTGCCCCCAAGTGCCTGTGGGTACGTCCCCAAAACTGTACCGTTCCTGTCAAGGACCTGTCGAGGTCATTGAGGTTCGGCGACCGCAGTGCATGAGTATTCGGTGGGGCCGGTGGTACTGGTTTGTGCATCCTTCGCGGTTAAAAACATACGTTCCGTTCGGTCCGGTCGATTCATCCCCACATCCCTGGTGGCCGGTGTCTGATGTGTCCGGTGCGCCAACCGCCACGCCTGAGGTAACGGGCCATGAGGAGGATTGTTCTGTACGGCCTACAGGACCGGAGAACCAAATGGCCACGGACGGAGCATTGCGGACTCATACAGCGGACCGCTAATCACACCCGAGCGGACTCGTCTCTACCCGCGGGGACAACCCTGCTGCACACACTCGTTCGCAACGCGTCGTTTTTAGTTGATTTCTATTCCCTTGTTCTTGTTCAGGGTCACCGCTAACGATTGTGTTGTTGTTAGTGGTCGGTCACTGGTCAGGATAGCGTTGTTGTTAAGGGTTGGTCACGATGTATATTAACAGCTGGGATGGCTACATTTTTATTTACTGGTCGGCCCGGGGTTGCACGCTGACACCAGAGGTGTTGCCAGGGAAACGGGCGATAAGGGGTGATTGATGGCTTGACAGGCACCAGCCAGTCTGGCCCTAAAGAGACACCAGGGTGGAGTTGGTTAATTGGAGAGGGGATATAAAGACGGCCGTGAGAGCGGAGAGCAGTTCGTGTTGCTGGGGACCAAGGTGAAGACATCTCGCCGCTGCCGCAAAAGCCAGGGACGGGCCCCTTGCAGAGCTCAACTGTGTGTGTCGTGTTGCTGTTTATATCTTAAGATTCTCTCCTTTCGGCTCGCCTTCTCACAAAGGGCCAGAACTTCCTTTGATTTCGCTCTGTGCTGTGGGAACAGCTGTTTGTCCGGCCTGTGTGTGTGTGTTCTAATTTATTGAAGTAATATAAGTTTCATCAAGGCCTGGTTCCTGCCACCTTCCTCAAGCCATCCCGCCATCAAAAGGAAACAGATGCTCCAGATTGCCCCCGAGTGCGTCCTTCTCCCAACCTTTTGCAATAATTAATCTGGAAGGAGGGGGCTTCCCCCTGTCCGGTCGCGTTCTCCCCCCTCTTCTCTTCCCTCCCGGTGTGACGTTATTTTGTCTCTCACAACGGGGGTGTTGCGGCTTTTGAAGTCGTGTTCTGTTGTACGGTTTGGAAGTTAAAATGTATTTTACCTCTTATAGCTTGATACCGTACAACTTTGTAGTTATGATTCTGTAAGTGACTCAAGGTATGTTTGTAGCAGTGTTTCGAGTGCTTCCATCATGGTGTTTTATTTTTAGGGGGAGGTGCCCTCTGCATGCGTATGCAATTCTATCACGTGCTGCTGGAAGACAAAGGCGGTTGGGAGACTCTCTTTCTCTATGGAATACATTTTATCTTGTCTTATGTGTTTGACCTATTTCGCCTCATTTCTTCTGGATGACCCTCGGTTTAATACTTCATAATTATTATTTGGTTTATGTTTTCCAATATTCGTGATTTAGTATTGTCATTGCCATGTGTTAGAATATAAAAATAATATTTAAGGTGAATAACTTTAGTATTAAACTCATATATGAGAGTTAATGACCCACTGATGTAGACTGTAGCCTGGTTTTCAATCGGAGTGAGTGTGTTGGCAGTCTATAATGTCCACTTAATCGTGTTGCTAAGTTTTGGACTTTTCCGGTAAACTACAATAACCAAAATAAACTTGTCTATCCGGTTTTCGTCGCCTGGGAAGCTGGCGATCCGGTTATCTGTACTCTTAATAAGGGGGCTTTTGAAGCCATGTATATTTCCCTCCGAATCTCATTAGTAATGCCCTCCCCCCTTCTTTGTTTTGGGTTTTATTATCGTTTATGGTTGCCATTCCGAGTGAGAAGGGCTGCTGCAGTGAGGGGAGGGGGGTTCACCTCACCCCCTTTTGCCCCCAATTACACCGCGATTGATTAATCAAAATAAATATTGGCAGAATTATTCTTAATATAAATTTTGGAAAAAGGCCTATATATATAAAACACTCCCCCCCTTTCTTACCTATACAACCTCTTGCCACGGCAGCTCTCTCGCCTACTTCAGCATGTTTTCTTGCTGCGGTTCCACCTGATGAAGGATTCTAGTGTAGCGATCGAAACGTCATGATTTATTTTATTTTATTTCTACCTACGTGACTTTACCGAAAGAACCAAAGAGTATGGATGCCTGCAGTCACGAACGCTTCAAATCAAGATTATCATGACTATTACTACATTGATTATATATGGTACTCATTGCACATTATAATCCTGTATTCCATATTTGTTTTGTGACTACCTAATGTATGTGTGGTCATCCTTGTTGTTGCGACCTACTTATTCTGGAGCCCCAGCCGATGGCGTAGCATGTGCTTGTCGATGACAGTTGCTCGTTGTCACTGGGAAGGCAGGCAAACTGTATTCCAGTGTCCGGCGTCACCGGTGCTGTCAGCTTAATCAATCCAATGTCATTTCTAAACACAATGAAATCGTTTATATTGAGAATGAGAAGATCTGAGATAACCATCAAGATATAAAACGTGTACACATTATGGTGGATTGGCTCCTAAAGGTATGTAAAAACATAATGTTTTGTTAAACCTACACACTCAATTTTGTTTCTTATCAAAAATGTAGGGTGGGAAATGGTAGCCTCGGGTTTTCGTGTCACCTTAAACAGAATTACTACCGTCATCTAGGTGAATATGATGTCATTATTTTAAATCCAGATATCAGCAGAGCTACATTCCAATAATGACCCTTGTAAACGTGAACAACCGATTGAGTGTACCAACAAAACAGTTAATAACGAATAACTGGGGAACAATGGATCAACGTTCACGTCACGCCCCCGTCAGTATCCGAGTCTGCCTGGGAAAATGAATGATCCTACAAGCAGACTAAATTGAAGAGAAGCTTCGTGAGAAGAGCCTCAAAGAATTACAGTCAAAGTCCCAAAGCCGAGAACAGCACCAAGATCACATTTCAGTCGGACCAGCCCTACGAATCCAACTTAATGTCGAAGGCATGTCAGCAGCCAACACAGTCTCATTTAAGTCCATGCTGCCGAACACCTGCCTGCAAGAAACCCACATTGGCCCAATCTACAAACTCAGCGGAGGTCTACTCACCCTTAACTCAGCAGGACCGGAAAGCAACCGCTTAGCTTAGGGACTTTGCATTTGTGGTGTCACGACTGCGGAGCGACTCCGCAAGCGCCGCGACTACCTCCCGGCCCCTGCACTAAACACACACCTGCACATAGCGCACCCACGTATTGTCCTGGCACATCGGGTTTTAATCCGAAAGGCCCCTAGGGGGAGAGTCCCACGGTTTCCCAGTGCCAGGAGATTGGCCAACCCGCACAGGAAAGGTTACATTGCGGTGCCCCTAAATTGGCTTAAAATTGAATGGGTGCAAAAGGTTCCCTGGGCCAACTGCAATGAGTTACACACAACATTTGGGGGAGGACGGAGGGTGGAATATTAGGCATAAAGAGCAGACCCTAAGACACGAACTACTGGGCACAGGAGAACAATGGGTGGGCGGAGCGGCAGCGAGAGTATAAAGGTGGGAGCCCCGGGACAATTGAAGCTGTTGTCTACAACCTCCGGGCTGTCACGACCCACTCCCTGCCTGCCGTACTGTCTCTTCAAGCCGCTCACAGCATCCGTGTGATGCCAGCGAGTGCTGCTGCGAGACAGTGATTGGGCAAATCTTCTCTCATCCTTCTCCCTCTGACTCTCTCAGCGTCCGTGGGATGCCGCGAGTCCAGTTTCAAGGTACGTGGTAGGACGTTTGAGTAGCTGGATTCATAGGCAGAGTTATGCTCGGCTCTCCTCGTGAAATATTCCTCCTCTGGGTAATGCGTATTGGCGCCATTAATAAACTCTGGGACAGAATATCGGTGTAGTGTGATTTGTGTGTGTTTGGGCAGAACCTAGGCGTAGCATCTGTGATCTGTGTATGGCACATCTGCATGGAGAGACGGTGTACCCGGCATGAGCGCGAGCACAGGGCTGCAGCATGGGGGTAGTGTGCGTGATTTGAGCGTGTGCGTGAGGCGCGTCTATTGCAGCACCATACGGCCGCCTTTGTTTGCGTGTGCTTGCGCTCGCGTGCGTGTTTACACAGCGTGCTTTACGCAGTGCGTTTACACAGTAGAAATAGCGTTAACGGTGTGGCGTGCCCCATAGTCCTATCCCCGTCGTTCCTTTTCCACTGGCATTAGCCTCTGCTTGCACAGCGGATTAAGGCTTATCCACGGGGGGGGGGGGGGGGGGGGTGCACATTCATACCAACCGCCGTTTATGTTGATTAGCACTCGGCGCGTGCGGGATAGCTTCGGCGGTGGAAAACCAGCCGTGCTCGCTGCCATTTTTGGAGGCGGTGTACACAGGAGTGTGCGAGATAACCCCGGGTGGTAGAGAGCCAGCCAGTGAGCGATGTCCCTCAGAGAGGGTGCTGGCGCGGGGGGGCCGATCACCCGATCGGCAGGGGCCCGGCGAGAGGCAGCCGAAGAGGAGGAGGGAGGAGTGGAGGGGGTGGACGTTGCGCCCCACCCGCTCACGGGGAGCGGGGAGGTGGACGTCGGCCCCCACATAATGGTGTCAGAGGTGGTACGACCCCCCACACCTCCAAGGGAGAGAGGCGCCCCACCCCAAGCAAAGGTAAGATACGTATTCCCCCGGGCAAGGGATTCCGTCATGGAAATCATTTGCCCGGAACCTCACGTACGCTAAAGACATTAATGGCTGGATAGACGCACAAGCTAAATATGCATTTTGGATGGGTGGGCAGCCGACTTTGTAGAAGCGCTACCTGCAAGCGCGCAAGCTCAGTGGGGGGAAGTAATACACCGACTCGACCAATGCTTCGGCGCGCTCAATGAGGAGGAGGCGAAGGCAGCATTAGATGCACGCCACCGCCAGCCTGGCGAGGACCTCCGCAACTACGCCGACGACGTGCGCTAACGCAGAGCGCACGCCCGGGGTTCGCTGCAGAAATCATTGAGAACCTCGCCACTGAGAAGGTCCAACGACATTTGACTGGCACCTCGTGGTGGCAGCCAGATGTGAGCTGCGCGTGCCTCCCATTTAATGCCCTTGTGCGTGCACGTGCATGCGAGAGACTAGGTAATGAGCGTGTGCAGTTCCGAGGGCTGGGACGGGAGCGCGCCATCACGAGCCTTCTTCCAGAGGAGGAAGAGGAGGAGCTCGCCAGGATGGTGAGGGGGCGGGCGAGGGAGTCTCCGGGACCCAGGGATGCAGCCCCAGGATGGTTGGCAGGGCTACAGACTGGCATAGGGGATATAGCCGGCCATGTGACCCATTTACGCAGGGAGATAACCCCCCGTAAGCGAGCAGGTGACCCAAGCCAGTGAGGAGGTGACCCAAGTATGTGGGGAGGTGACCCAAGTACGCGGGGAGGTGACTCAAAATATGAACAAATTGCAGTCCACAGTGGAAGTAGTCCAGGCCGAGGTGGTGGGGCTACGCTCCATGGTAGGGGGACTTACCGGGCGGGTGTCCCAATTAGAGGCACAGTTTGGGCATATGCGTATCAGTAGGGGGAGTGGGCAAGGGGCCTCCTATGGAGCCACTGCCCTTCCCAGGGTGTGTTATCTATGCGACCGTCGGGGACATCTTGTGCGAGACTGTCCCCAGATCGCCCACCCTAGACACGCGCCAGGGTTACACGCCAACGGTCCCTAGAGAGTAGACCAACTAGGGGTGCAATCGACAAGGTCCCAGCACAAATAGACGGTAATAATAATGTTGACCGAGTTACCCCCACGCAGATACCGAAAACAACACTCAAAGATGCGGCGACTGTGGGCGACTGGCTGCGGGAGCTGGTGGCGGGGATCACGGGGGCCACGTCACTGGTGGAAGGGCAGGTAAACGGGCGGCGTACCCGGATTCTGTTGGACATGGGGGCAGTAGACTCGCTCGTGAGCGCAGCACACTGCAACGTGGTCGGGGTTGATGTGAGCCACCTACAGGCCCCGGATCGCGCGCTGCCCACTGCGAGTGGAGCTGGGATGGGAATGCTGGGGAGGGTCACCCTGGAGGTCCGTCTCGGACACCAGGTGTGTGACCAAGAATTCTATGTTGGGGCTCAATGTACAGCCTCGCCAGCGATGTACCACCGTGGAAGGCAGCGGGGAACGGATTCCGTTTCTGGAGCAAGAGCCGGATCGCCTCCGCTACACACCCGTGGCCGCTACCCTGGTGATGGCCGTCACCATCGGGCCTCCCGCGGAGATGCTGGTGCCGGTGGAAACACCCTCCACCGACCCCGCACACCGACCATTGGGTGAGGTAATGCTGACTCCTCACCCGGAGTTGACGGCATGGTACAAGGTTGTGGGGTCAGCCACGCTATCAGGAAACGCGTACGGGGGCCGACTGTTTATGCAGGTATTTAACCCCCACAGTACCCCAGCAACGCTGCGTTAGCGCACCACGGTAGACACAGTGTATTCCCTGCACGCACGCCACTCGAACAGCTCAGTGTTTGCCCTCTGGGCTGAGGACCCCTGCCGCCCGAGGACAACCACGGCCTGGCCTGGCGAGTCGGACCGACTCCCAGAGCAGTGGTTGTCTCCCTGCTTGATGCGCTACAGGTACCCTGGGCAGATCTTACCAAAGGGGAGGCTGATCAGCTGCGAGGGTTACTGTGGGAGTACGCCGACGTGTTTAGTGAGCACGATTCGGATGTGGGCCGGACAGACCTCTTTAAGCACCAAATTGACACAGGTGCAGCCCGACCCATTAAACTCCCCGCATATCAAGTGGGCGTACCCAAACGGGCCCAGATTAAAGAGGCAGTCGCGGATATGCTCCACGATAACATAATCCAACCCTCAGCGAGCCCCTGGTCTGCCCCAGTTGTACTGGTGACAAAAAAGGATGGGTCGACCTGGTTTTGCGTTGATTATCGAAAGTTGAACACAGTTACACTCGGCGACGCCTTCCCCATCCCCCGCATCGATGACACCTTTGACAGCCTCTCGCAAGGGCTCGGTATTTTTCCACCCTCGATCTAGCGTCCGGGTATTGGCAGGTGGAGATGGTGGAGAAGGATCAGCCAAAGACCGCATTTACCACCCCGATAGGACTGTTCGAGTTCCGAGTGCTTCCGTTCGGACTCACTAACGTGCCTGCGATGTTCCAGCGGTTTATGGAGTTGGTGATGCAGGGCTTGCGATGGGAATCAGTGCCTAATTTACCTGGATAACGTGATAGTGTTCAGTAGGTCCCTGTCTGAGCACTGCGAGCAGCTCATCTCAAGCTCAAGCTGTGTAAGTGTTATATTGCGCAGCGCGAAGTTGGGTACCTCAGATACCACGTTAGCGAGGCAGGGGTGCGCACCGACCCGGCAAAGGTACGCGCCGTAGTGGAATGGCCACGGCTGAGGAACCTGACGGAGATCAGGTCACTCTTGGGGCAAGCCACTTATTATCGTCGATTTGTGAAGGGATTCAGCGAGATTGCAGGCCCCCTCACCCAACTCATTTCCCCTAAGAACTCCTATCAGTGGATGGAGGCCTACCAGACGACCTTCACCACCCTCAAGGACCACCTCACCCATACCCCCACCCTGGCTTTCCC